AGCCACATACAGCCCTCAGTCCCCATCCATGAGAATCATGAATATAAAAATGAAAGTTTCACTATGAGATGAATGAGGAAACTGTCTGGTCCCATGAGAATTCATAATCCAGGAAGAAAAGTGAAGATTTCAAAAATACAACCTGTGAAACCATGCACATATCAGTATGGTCGGCTCTGCCAATGGCTGTTTCATAATGCAAGGAATATAGGTAAGTCCATCTAGTGGCTTTGCACATTCCTATACTAAAAAACTGATTTTCTGCCCAGGAAAAAATTATTCCTGTAATGGAATATCTGATGGTTACTTTTTGGAGGATCACTCCTTACTTCAAATATATATTTCGCTAATGAAGACCAAACATATGAAGAGATGACATCTTTTCTATTTATTTTTTTTTATCTACAGCTACCTGAACTTGGACTGTGGTGTTTTAAAACCCCAAAAATGAACAAGGAACCCCATTGTTGATAGGGTATCTTGTGGTAAGTACATTATAACAGTGCTCCATAGAATCATAGAATCATAGAATATCAGGGTTGGAAGGGACCCCAGAAGGTCATCTAGTCCAACCCCCTGCTCAAAGCAGGACCAATTCCCAGTTAAATCATCCCAGCCAGGGCTTTGTCAAGCCTGACCTTAAAAACCTCTAAGGAAGGAGATTCTACCACCTCCCTAGGTAACGCATTCCAGTGTTTCACCACCCTCTTAGTGAAAAAGTTTTTCCTAATATCCAATCTAAACCTCCCCCACTGCAACTTGAGACCATTACTCCTCGTTCTGTCATCTGATACCATTGAGAACAGTCTAGAGCCATCCTCTTTGGAACCCCCTTTCAGGTAGTTGAAAGCAGCTATCAAATCCCCCCTCATTCTTCTCTTCTGCAGGCTAAACAATCCCAGCTCCCTCAGCCTCTCCTCATAACTCATGTGTTCCAGTCCCCTAACCATTTTTGTTGCCCTTCGCTGGACTCTCTCCAATTTATCCACATCCTTCTTGAAGTGTGGGGCCCAAAACTGGACACAGTACTCCAGATGAGGCCTCACCAATGTCAAATAGAGGGGAACGATCACGTCCCTCGATCTGCTCGCTATGCCCCTACTTATACATCCCAAAATGCCATTGGCCTTCTTGGCAACAAGGGCACACTGCTGACTCATATCCAGCTTCTCGTCCACTGTCACCCCTAGGTCCTTTTCCGCAGAACTGCTGCCTAGCCATTCGGTCCCTAGTCTGTAGCTGTGCATTGGGTTCTTCCGTCCTAAGTGCAGGACCCTGCACTTATCCTTATTGAACCTCATCAGATTTCTTTTGGCCCAATCCTCCAATTTGTCTAGGTCTTTCTGTATCCTATCCCTCCCCTCCAGCGTATCTACCACTCCTCCCAGTTTAGTATCAGTGTGTGTACTGCCTGCCTGTTGGTATTAAAAAGGCATTGAGGTATTATATTTTTTCCCTGACACCCCTAAGGGTTTGGAATTTGCCCATTTGACAGGCCACCTCTCCCATGTATGAGCATGCTGCGGTTGTGATCACTTGATTGAAACCAAATCTTGGCCACTTTTGGCCATTAAAAAGCCTATAATATTTTTCACAAGAGTAGATAATGTTAGCCCTACCATATTCTGGCACAATTCCAGGTATGTAATTGCATTCTGCTTACTTACAATTTCATTCATATATGGTAATCTTCACTTCCAATGCATTCCTTAAGGGCTGGCACTTTTTATCTGAGACATTATGGGTGAGGCCACTCCTTCACATACCAAATAATGCTTTAGGGTACTTGAACAAAAGACAATATACACATTTCAGTCACTAAGTCCTCTATAGTTTATCGCAGTAAAGAGCCAATCCCTTGACATGCTAAAAGGTTTATTCCTATCAATAGTACCAGACATTTAGAAAGTAACTGGATTCCTTCTGCATGGCAATAACACCGTCTTATAACAATATAGAGGTTTTTATTCTGAAGGATCCCAAAATACTCTGTAAATACATCTTAATGTCAGACTTCTGAAATCAAGCCCTCAAAGCTCAGAAAATTCCATTAACTAAAGAAGTTGTATAACATAAGATGTGAATTAAAAGTTAATACATTGGTGTGCGTGTGTGAATATATATATATATATATATTTCACAAAGAAAATAAGGGTGACATATATGCATATGGTAGCAAGACCTGGATCACTTACAGCAGGCATAAGAAAAGGTTAAACACCTTCCAAACCCATTGTCTTTGCCATATTCTAAATCAAGTGGGAAAGCAAAGTTCCTGATAACAATGTACTTGCAAAATTGCCAAGCCTAATCACTATTTTCAAACAGACGTCTCTGTTGACTAGTCATCTGCATTAAATGGACAATTACACGTTCCAAAGGATCTCCTGTATGGAGAACTTGAGGAGGGTCACTGGGCCAGTCTAGGCTCAGATTCAAGGAGTTTGCAGGAGGGACTTGAAAACTTTCAATAATTGACATTGGAAGCTCAGAAGATGCAGCTAGCAACAAACTATGCTGGAGGGCTGCGCTACGCCACACCAGTGAGTGAAAAAAAGTCTAAGAGAGGTGGTTGAGAGAGAACAAAGCGCAGCAGGCCTGAAGCACTAATAGTGTGTCAGCTTCATCTTCTGGCCCTATGCTTACACCTGCATTATCTGTGTTAAGGACCACTGCTCAAGAATTGGACTTTTCAGCAACTCGCAATGCTGTAGCACAACACATAGAAACTGAACCTCTTTGCCAGCATATTTAAGATGGATGATTACCATTCAAGCATATGTGCAACATGGCCTGATTAGTGTGTTAGCCTAACCTTAAACTTTTGGAATCTCTTGACTGAGTGCTTGATTTCTCAACCTTAACATTGCATTAATGCTAGGTTTTTTGCATTTAAATTCTCTCAGATTTATAAATGCAAAGTGAAGAGAAGAGAGTTGACAAACAACAAAATGTGATATTTGTCTTGCAGATATTACACAAACTACTGGCAAAGACATTGAAGTGTATACTGGTAAATTCCTTGAAACAGAAGTATTTAGCAGGACATCACCAGAAAGGTAGCTGACCATAACAAAGGCTTCTTTGACCTGACCCTATACAAAATAAGGCCTGTATCAAGCAAACACTTACACATGCTTTATTTTGACTATGCAAATTCTCCCTTTGAATTCAACGGAACTATTCACATGTTAACATTAAGCACATAGATGTTTGCAGGACAGGAGTCTAAACTGCTTAAACAAATTCAAATCCATTCGACCTCAGAACAGAGTTCCAAAGTCTGACCCTTCTCTGAGGACGCCATGCCCTGCCACCAGACCACATTTTAAATAACTGCTTTCACGTGATATATGTCAGCTTTCACTGTACATTCAAAGTCACAGGGAAATTCAATTCGGGTTAATATACCAAATTCAGCCAAGGAATAAGCAACCAAAATTCTCATAGACCAGAGATGATTCTGGTATTATGTATTAATTCTATTGGCCAAAAATTCAATTTAACTTATCTATTAAAAATAGAAGAAATGTTTAAATTTCAGTGCATTCATACTACTACAGTATTTACAATTTACTCACATTTCTAGAGAACTGACTATACATTTTTAAAACACAGTAATTTTAACATTTAAATATATTTAATCTTCCCTTTATACCATGCAGCCTTGTCATCAAAAAACTATTGACAACTGTTCTCTCATCATGCAAAAGATCATGATGCACAAAAAGAATAAAAGAGATGGTAGCTTTAACTCCAAGTTCCTTGACTGTTGTGAAAAATTTTAATCTTAATTTTTTTTATCAAAGAACCAATTTCAAACCTCAGAAACCATGTTGACAGCGTACACTTCTGTAATGGGGCTTAAACTTCTTGTCTCCACTCTATCACATTTTTCTGTACAAGAATCCCTTGTCATCGAGTTGTATGACTTCTCTGTTGCACAAGGAACTCACAAGAGCTTTGTAACTGCTCGCTAACTTTAAGTAAATTTATTTAATTGAATTGTTCACTGCCAGTAAAAAACGATTTTCTTGCATGTGCATTTACATCTTATAATATACTGCTGAAAGATAGAAGTATTTCAAGAGGCAATACAGATCTAAACAGAAACCAAATTCAGTTGTTTTGGCAATTAAATTTTCAAGCAATACCATAAATGTGTACTGCTTTTCTTTACACTGGGAGTAAGTCCTGGACCCCCACCTCCCAAACAGCCAAACTGCACTGATTAAAGTGCCCATTCCATAAAAAAGTACAGATTCTTACTCAACACAAAAGCAAACTTGCACTGGAGATGAGTCAGTTAACGAAAAGTGAATGTTCCACTGACTTTGTTCATGAGAGGAATTAGCATTGACGTTATTGCTGTATTAAGTTTAATCATCAGCAAAATTAGTGGAACTTTGACCAAGCAAAGCAACATTTTGAAAACTTGTTAAACATGATTTCCAGAGTCTAATAAATAAACCCCATCCACAAACAATCCACAGTGACATACTGTGGGTCTAGCATATGAAGTGCTCGAAAAACAGATTGCATAATCATTTGGACTCTGTTCCAAGAACGTGCCAAATATCCATCAGCATAGAATTTCTAACTCCCTGATGTTCCATGAAAAGTCCCAGACCAAACTGGGGAAAACTTTCCTATGTTATGATTGAAGTGCAAACATAAAAATGACAATTGTATCTATATAATATGATGCAAAACAAATAATTCATCATCAGTTATGTCTTATACAAGATATACTGCTTTGTTTTTATTTTCTGTGGGTATCTGTTGATACATTCAGCAGACCCTGATCATAAAAGAAATAAGAGTCAACAGGTAGGAGGGGAGAGGAAAACAAATATGGAGAGAGGGATTGGTTAATCATAACACATTTTAAAAAGTAAGGGTCTGAACTTTGTAATTATGTATCAAAACATTCTCAACTAGTTGAGTATTAAAAAAAAGAACAACAACAACAACGGCCAGCTTTAAAGAGCCAACTGTGACAGCCGAACCATACAGGATAACAGGGGACTGCAACCAAGTTTTACATTTACTGTTTCATCGTCTCTTTGTGAGAGTCACGAAGTGGTAATCTCTACATTTCTTTGCTTCAAATTGTGACATCCCAGCATACACTCTTCTGAAGAGGTCATGAGCACCACAGATCAACAGTGGAGCAGAGAGTCAACCTGTGTGGGGAATAAAAGGTAATTCCCATTTTTCCCATATTCAGCAATTACAAAATATAAACCTTATGAATATAAATGACTGTGTGTGTGAGAGACAGAAGTGATGCAGTTTGGTATATAATGGATTTACTGGCAAAAACGGAGATGGCCATATTACAGGCAAGTCATCCTAAACAAATGCCCATGTGACATTACCCAGGGTAAAATCTGGACTGTTGGACTATCTGAGCTTCCTAGCTTGATGAAAGAGTTATTCTTCTGTGACAGACCCAGACCAGGGGAGTACAGGAGTCTGGTCGAAGGCAAATATACTGGCCACTGGATGAACAGTTTTCTGTTCCCTGAGTGACCAGAGCTGGGGCTGCCCTAGAGCAATCAGGAACCTGCTAGAACCAATTAAGACAGGCAAGCTAATCAAGACACCTGGAGCCAATTAAGAACTTTCTGGAATCAATTATGGCAGGCAGGCTAATCAGGACACCTGGTTTAAAAAGGACCTCCCATCAGTTAGTAGGGGCACATGGCAGGAGCAGGGAGTGAGATAGTGTGCTGCTAGAGTAGTGAAGTGGTTGAGTGTGATCAGGCTTCAGGAGGAAGATCCTGCAGTGAGGCTAAAGAAGATGCTGGGGGAAGGCCATGGGGAAGTAGGGAGTTGTAGCTGTCATGCAGCTGATACAGGGAACATTGTAGATAACTACTATCCACAGGGCCCTGGGCTGGAAGCTGGTGTAGAGGGTGGGCCTAGGTTCCCCCCATTCCCCCAACTCCTGATCAGACACTGGAGGAGTTGACCTGGTCTGTGAGAAACACCAGAAGGGGAGGTCTAAATTCGAAAGGGATCTGTCCTGTCCCTGACCCGCTGGGTGGGATACAGAGACTGTGGGAATTGTTCTTAGTTTCCCCCATGCTGGCCAGTGATGAGGTTAGCTGAGTGGACGGCAGGTTTGAGCCACTAGTAAAAGTGGCCAAACTGAGGGCTGCCATGAATCTCTGAGGCAAGCAATCCACCAATAAGCGCAGGACCCACCAAGGCAGAGGAGGAACTTTGTCACACTTCCTAATATTCAGAGGGATCTCTACTAATACAATTCTGCTTCTTTCTCTTCTGAATCTTATTTTCTTCTCTACAACTCTAAGCTTCACCTTTTCCTTCTTGCTCTACAATTCCAGCCTTAACCTTTTTCTTTGTCACTGAGGTTAGACCAGTCTCTTTTCTCCTTGGATTTTAAGACTGGTCTCAACAACCTTTTTCATCTTGGAAGAGATTACCTGTCCTTTTTCTTCTCTTTGGAATTATTTTGTTGGTCAGAATTTCTAGAACAAAGTGACCACTTACCAGTCCATCATTAAAGTTTCAGTGGCAGTTTAAAAGCTGTTGTTACAGACTTGTCCGCATCCTGTGTAGACTCCAGGACTGTAAAAAGGAAGCACGTTCTGATTTAAGCAGTAGCAGTGTTAAAGCTCTCCAATGAACCTTTGCTGGGAGCTCACCATTTGTGCCTAAATTAAGGCTAGCAAATTACCTTCCTCCCTCCCTCCAAAATACTGAAGATTTAGGTACTTGTACCATAGCCATTCATAAAAAGATCTGTTAAGGCTGAAATTAGACCTCGAGGTTACCTACAGCTACATATGCAAATAACAATATCTATGATCCTCTGCAATACCCTCATATCAGTTAGTGGTAACATATCTTAAGAGCTAATACTTAGGCTCAAAATGGTGAGTTAGGATAGAGCAGCAGACCAGAGCTCCATTTCCTCTGCACTAAATCAAACATTTAATGTAACTTTTGTACTCCTCCCTCTTCTCACCAAACCAATAGCTGCAGGTGAGTTACTTTGACACAGATATTGGTTGCCTCTAAGGAGGGTTTTCCTTTAACCTTAATGAATGGGACTGCTTCACCCCATCACACAAAGCCGTAGCACTCTCTTTTTGGCATTTCATTTGACATTACATTGGAAGTACTGACACTGTCTGTTTTATTATAAATAATACTGTTTAAAATGACAAATACTTCATAAATTCAGCATTTCAAGATTAGTTTATGGATTAAAGCAAACGCTTGTTTTATTTTCAAGGCAACATTCCATGAGCTCAGTATTTAAAGTCATGCATTTCCCAATTTTACTGTCATTGAAATACATTTCATTTCAAAAGATATCAGGAAATTATCACTATTCATTTTTTATACAAAGCCTCTTACATGTCAGCTGTCATTCTTCAAAAATCATATTGAAAATGGTGTTTCTAAGCAGAGTTCAGTTGCAGCGTAATAAGTAATAATTTCATCAGTTAGCAGCATTCAGCATCCACTGAGAGTTCTCTCACTATTATTTTATTCACAGAACCTTTGAGGAAGGAGCATGCTATAAAGATCCATTTATCCTTCAAGGTTTTTCATAAATGCGGCATACATCTTAGAAAACAATTGGTTATTCTTTCTCAATTTAAATAACTATAATAGCTTCCAGGTGTAAAACCTCTTTTTATACTTTCCTTTTACTCATATTACAGGTCTACACTTTTAATGATCTAGTCTAATGTTTCCACCTACTTTTGCACATGTATTCTGGAGTTTTCCATGGATGCTATGCATGACTGGCTAGGGCATATTTGGCTTCTATTGTTAGAACAGAATAGAATCTGGTTTTGGATAATACCCTTCATAATCAAGGCAATGCCAAGCAGTTTATAATGAGCTAGATGCTAATATAGACACTAGAAGTGCAGTAACTATAGAGGAAAATGTCTAATATATTCCCCCTTCCCTCCTCAATGTCTTTATCAGTCCATTTCCCCTCAACCTCAAGGTCATGTTCTGGCTTTCATCGTTTTTTTTGGAGACTGGAAAGGCTTTCCCCTCACAGCACAACATAACTTTCCTTAATTAGACAAAGGGATTGCTGTTGAGCAACCTGGTTCTTAATGCTGAAGTAAGCTGAGCCCTCTATGAATTTTTTTTTGAATTAATTTTGGGAGAACCTGTCTGTCCTTCCTGGGTACATGGTGGGAAGTGTGAGAAGGCATTTGAGGACTAGAAGCAGTCAAGTGGTGCCAGCCTACATTCACACTGGTTAGTAGCTGATGAGTTGTACCTGCTTGAGTTCTAGCATATAACCCCTCTCGGGCTAGCCAATTCCTGTCAGAAGCACCACCACACTTGACTGAGTTTTGTGTCTGGACAAGACTCAAAAGGGCAACACTCAAATTAAAATTCAGTTCAAGTTTGCAGTATAAAAGCCCCTGATTAACTGCCAGTTAATTCTAGTTACGAATACCTTTGCAAACGATAATCTAGACACTCCATCAATGTTTTTAGCTGCTTCTAAGCCAAAGAAACCATTGTCAGACCAAAAGAGCTACTGACTGATTTTCCTGCTGTGTGTTATCTACAAGTTGATGGAAAAACTGAAAAGGAAAGGTTTTGCTGATACAGACTAACACGGCTATCATTCTGAAACCTGAAAAAGGAAAAGAATCCCACTCCTGTGGATCAGGAGTGTGACACCATGGCTGATCTCTCAACACCCTTTTGTTACGACAGTTCACACATTCTTGGACCAGAGCAATACCGGCCTTTTAGTATACCAGGGAATGGAAAACTATTTCCTTTCAGAGTAGAAGCATTGGTGGGAAAGAGTCTAACAGAATAAGTAAATCCAAGAGTCTGTTGCTACACTTGCCTCCTTGTCCAGTTGATTGTAGATCCTGATCAGGATCTACACGCTACTCTTTGGCTTGTCCAAGTTGCCGCAACTATGCGCCAGCTTGGCGTGGTTTCCTCCCATGCTGTGACAGTGGGGGAGTGTTGCAAACAATAACTCGTGGTGGAAGAGTGCCTAACATGACATCTAAAATGTCATTTACAATGCCTTACCTCCCTTGATACACAGGCTATCCTCTGGTTATGGAACCTGGACACAAGAGAGCTGAATGTTTGTAGTTTATCCTAGGCTAAACCCTAAGGCAAACCAAACACATCCATGAATTATCTGTAGCCTATCAATTAACTCAAATTATAGTAGGTTTATTTAGACAGGGCTGGAACAGCTAACACGTTAGAATACAATTTGCCCTATCACCACATTTTTAACACTAATATTTTTTAAAAGACATTAAGTAACATGTTTTTAACAACACCTTCTATCCTAGTGCAGACAGGCCTCAAGTTACTGGCTTTGATATTTAACCCCAGCTTGCTTATCTAGAATTGTTTATATATCTCTGTGGAGAGAATTTCCTATGTGATTCGCTATTTTAAGTCAACAAAAAAAAGGTTTAAGGCCATGTTTTTAGTTATGACACAAACTGACAAAAAAGAAAGGAATTAAAGGTTAAAATTGACACTCAGACCTGAAATTGCCTCTTATGCCAGGTTATAATATACATTTGTCTATTCTGAAGACAAAAGTGACTATTTTTTGTTTCCACTGCCAATTACTTTGAAGAAAGAGCCAGGGAGTCTTATTTATTTCACCACTGTCACCCATGGACGCTGTATATTTGTGGATATGGGTAGTTTCTTGATTTTCCCCAACTGAGTCAGAGCATCATGTTTGTCCTGGATATAGGTATGTGTGGCAAAAATCTCCTGGCAGATCTGCACAGCAGATTTCCACAGATATGTCATAACTGGAAGTTCTGCATCTGTAATAGCAGGAGAGTACCAGCAGAGAGCTGTGCCTTGCAGATGGGGAGAGAATTGTGCCCTTGGTTTACAAATGATCTCAACTGAAAATGAAATGACTGTGAATAGCATATCCACACAAATTCCACCTGCTGAGCATATGACAAGACATTCATGGCCAAAGGTTTCCTAGTCCTACATGTTTGATTTCTGCACCAAAGCACATATTCCCCTAAACCTCATACAAAGGGCCAAATCCTGCTTTTCTTATTGGGAGCAGGGCTGGGTTGGCAACAAAACCTATAACACTGCAGTAATGTAATAAAAAGGAATAGAAATTGTATTCTAATGAGGGGAGGGAGGTTGCTAGGCAACCAGGGAGGAA